CGATGAAGCCAGACAGATTATTATGAGTTTTATCTGATTTTGAGTGAATTCTTCGAGAGAGTATCTCCTTCTTTCCCTTTCGTATCACGTTCTACATTAGTTGGTTTGTTTAGTCTGACTATCCAATTGACTTCTATAGTTGAAGTGAAGAAACAGAGTTCATGTGCAGTGCACCTTGCCAATGTCACTGACCAATATGTAGCTTTCAAGGTTTGTGGTTGCTCTATCTCATGCCCTTTGTTATGTTACAAAAGATTACTGTTTGCTTCTAAAATAAGCATGGTTAGTTTAACACTTTTAATTATGTATCTTATTTTCGGAGAAATTATTAGAATGAATATACGATCACTATGCAGGTTAAGACTACAAATCCAAAGAAGTACTGTGTGAGACCTAATGTCGGTATATTAAAGCCAAAATCAACATGTGATTTCACAGGTATTTAAGTTTGCTCTTTTGTACAGACAATAAGTTTCCAGTGTGCTTCATCTCAGTCTTTTGATCGATGTTGGGCAAAAATTGTTGTTTTTTCTTTGTAATATTGCATGTTGCATCCCTATACTTGTTGATCTGTACTCAATGATATAAAATTTCAACAATGAGTAAAGGCACAGTAGTAAATATGTGACTGGAGTCTCACTTCTTTGTTGACCAGTTATCGAGCAGTAGTGAATGGACTTGCTTATTTTTAAATTTTTCCTGACATGCCCATCTTGTGCAGTTATCATGCAAGCACAGAAGTCGGCTCCCTTTGAGATGCAATGCGAAGATAAATTCTTGATTCAGAGCACGGTGGTACCGTTTGGAACAACAGAAGATGACATTGTACCTGGCATGGTAGGATATCAACTTTAGTAAGTTGGATTTTTGAGATGTTGTCAAATCTCATTACGTCGCATGCTGACCTGTTAGTTGAGAATAGTGCATTCTTATTAAGGATTCTTCTTTTTTCTTCTGCAGTTCGTAAAAGAGAGTGAAAAATATATTGAAGAGGTCAAGCTCAGAGTTAGTCTTAGTATTGCACCCGATTATCCAGAAAAGCCACTGACGAATGTAGTTTTGAATCAAGAATCATCTTTCAAGTCTTCTAGACCAAAAGAAGTCAATGCACCTGTTTTGCTGCCTATTATTGGAGCTACTAAGCAAGAGCCATCCTATGAGACTGTCATCCCGAAAGAGAAATTGCACAACGGAGTTGAAAATCTCCCTCATAATGACATGGTGAGAAATTTCAGCATCGCGTCATTGTAATTTAGTTGATAAATGACACTATTGAGGCGACTGATTCCTTAAACAACACATAAAATTTGATAAGAATCCATACTATTTACCTTGTTCATCACACGACTTATTTGTTATTATTCTAACTACCTTTTCTTATTGGAGAGCATCACATGTTAATATAAGTAAATATCTGTACACACTGGACTCTTATTGTAACATTTCTTTTTCTGCGCGTGAAAGTTATTGCTTTTTTGGAAAAAAAAAATAATGGAAAACTCTACATACGGAACTTATTTAAGTTAAAATCTATCTCTCTTGCCAGGTAACTATGAAACTGGATTCGATCATAAGTGTAAAAAACGTGGAAGCGTTCGGATTGGTTATGATTATGGATGATATGAAGACAGCTCTCCCCAAGGATGAGAAGTTTTACCTAGTCAAGCTGTCAAGGTCAAGGATGAGGTGAAGCCGGTGAAAGATTTAGACGAGACAAACTTAAAGCTTATGAAAGATATTGAAGAATTGAAATCAAAGATTAGCGCGATGGATTCTGAGCTAGTTAAGGTGAGTACTGTGTTATGTCATAAAAATCTCAGATGTGAATGTGCTTTGAAGCTTCATATAGTTTTTTTTTGGAATATTAAGAACTATATCATTAACCTCAGATGTTTGTATGGACTACAGAGATTAATGTAGGAACAGTATGTTACAAAATGATATAATAATGGGGCGGTGCCGCCCCATATGCACCGCCCCCAATTGATGAATAAAAAAAAATAAAAAAAAAATTAAAAATTGCAAGTGTGATTGCAATTTGCTGGCCAAATTGTCAAGTTGTTCCGTGATCTTACTCTATAAAAGGCCATCGGCCAGAAGTGAAAAGAGGAACCAAACAGAAGAGAAAAAGAGGGGAAAATAAGAGAAAGAGAAAGGAAAGAAAGATAGATTTATGTCCAAATATCGAATATAAAAATATCAAAAGAGAAAAATTAAATAATATTTTTATTTGTTTTATGCTATATCTTTTTATTTTTAGTGTTCAATTCTCAACTCCGTTAAAGTTCGCCGGAGCTCGTAAATCTGGTGTGCTACAGATTTAGAGACGTTTGCCGTTGTATCTTTGGGGAAGTTACGCCTGAACCGTTAGCTGCCACACGGGGCGTATTCTTCTTGCGGAAAGAGTTTTACTCGCCTCGGCTAAAAACTTTCCGTTTTTCAGTTGTAATTTATTTTTTCAGATCTATTGTAATTTTCTATTTTTAGATTATTTGTAAGAACTGAAAATTACATATCAGTTCGTAGGAATCCCGTGTATTTTAAACCAAATATCCAACAATCGCAAGAAGAATATCAGTCATCCTACTGAACTGATGGCATCCACCGGACCAGGTTCCAGCTCTCAGCATCCGATCAATCATGTACCTGCTGTCCATGTTCCTACAGCTGAAAAGCCCGAAAAATTCAACGGGCTTGACTTTAAGAGATGGCAACAGAAGA